GATGTGTCATAAAGTTCTTTCAYTATTGTAGAGCCTTTTTGTCCTTTATACGGTGATGTATGGTTCTCGTTTTCCGTTTTTTTCAAAGGCATCTTCTTGACCTACAATAACAGGAGGGAATTAATGACAGTGATATTTAGTAGTTTTTTTTAGTGACATCTAGTAGTTACTCGCGCAAAAGCGGCGAGTCATAAATTCAGCATCGTTAGTGCTATTTTCKTCCTTCAGCAACAAAATGACCTAAATCTGTGCATGCGTGCGCAGCTTTGACAGTAGTAGGCATGAGCACCAATGAACGAATGATGTTGATGTTGAGTGTTATGATAGATAAATTGCATATGGTCATCGACTTACCAGTGCTTTGAAATTTTCAAGCCACCCAGGAGTTCCCTCTTTTTCGAGAGCTTTAAGATACAATTCTTCTYTCTCGCTCTCTAAAAGCCCTTGTATGAGAAAAAAACCGATTTAATCCAGATTTGTTCAAAATAATTGAAATCATTATTTCAGAGTGTTTGATAATTTTGCGTTGTTGAAAGCGCTTCCAGTCTCTCTCCACTGCGTCAGTATGAATAATCATAATTATAAGAGATATAAAATACAGTGTAACAGTTTGTAGAGGGAAACGGTTCGGAAGCCTTTTGTTTTARTTTTTTGTGAACTCTTTTCCAAGAGTGACCGTGCTAGATCTTTTGTTTAACTAAATTGTTTTAGCCATACTGGTCACATCTGAATGAAGAGAGCAAAAAAAAATATTCTTTTGACCATTTCTTCAAAATGCAAAAAAAAAACAATATTGGAATATTTCATTTCATAGTCTCATAGAGATTGTTTATGTTCACTCATTTTTGCAATTTCAATCTTCCATAAGAAAAAAACCATACAAAAGATGTACAAAAGAAGTACAAACACAACGTTTCCAACCACGTTCCCCTCCTAGTAATTATGATTATAATCAAAGCGAAGATATTCCTTAAAATATTCTGGTACCTGGAYGTTCATTATCCACGGGCATGTTGATGACATCGATCTAAACATTATGAAAAAGGCCAACAGGGATAATAGGAAAATATATAATATATAATATATACGTCTGATATTCTAGTTATACGTCTGATATACTAGTTTAGATATGCTGTTTTTAATAGTAAAAACAGATTTTGAAAAATCTAGATCGTTTTTAAAAGGTGCTCATTATTCCCAGTCTTCTGCTCGTTTTTCATATGGTCAATTGTATACATGTTTTTAATTTACCGGCCGTTAGATCATGCAAAAATAGCTGTTTCGTATCACCCGTCAACTCTAATCCCTTACCGGAAGTGTTTCGTTGTGAGTGKTCGCCATCACGAAGCAAGCAAGTGACATAAAAACAAATAATGGAAGAAAGTGAACGACTTCCATTTCTGGGGAAAAAAAGATGAGAGAGCCGTGAAGAAACTGATCAATTACCTATCAGCGGCTTACAGAGCTCTATAACAATAACTGCCATTCTTTTTTTCTCTTGAGTAACAGGTCTCCTATTTTCCTATTTTTTTCTTTGTCGATTTTGTGTTTTTCTTTTAGCATTTTGTTCTTCTAGTTTTTTCATCTTGTCATTTTCAAATTATCGCGGGGTATATAGAGCTTCCAAAGTCCTACTTCCAGCAGGATTTTTCGCCGACCAACTGCTCCCAAGCTTTTTGAATCATCCTCTTCACTAAGCWCTATAACTCCTAATTCTTGTGACATTTCCTTGATTTCGACCTGAATTTGACAAACTCTCTGGCTAACAAGACCTCGGMAAACAAGGGGCTCGGAGACACCCTAATTATTTTATTCCAATAGATATTACACTAATACATCTTAGTACGCTCTGATTGTTTTCTTGAATAACCAAGATTTGTTTCACGGGTTTAGAGTCAGTTTCACCCGTCTGTGAAACAATACTGAACTACTAGTGTTTTTAAACACTATTAAAATAGTAACTATTAGAGGGTGTAGTAGGCTACCAAAAGGCAAAATCAAAACCGTTTTTGTCGCATGTCATAATTTAAACTATTGGGAGCTATTAAATAGGGGGTTATAGTATTTAATAGTACAATTCTTATTTCACAGACGGATGAAAATGACTCTAATGACTTCATCTTTACACGTGCAACAACTAAACTTCGCCAAGTGTGATATAGTCAAATAGACACAAAAGAAAATAATGCAACTAGACMGTAAGGTGTAAATTTAGTGCAATATTCATTGCACTTTTTTTCTAATGCCCTCAAACTGTGTCCACGAAATGTAAACTTAATATATCTTATTATTTTCAATACCTTTTCTCGCGGATCCTTATATGTTTTATTACAACCRCCAATGCCCCTGTCTGAATGTCATCTAACTTTGAATTGATTGTCTTTTTCTTATAACCAGGTATTTAATGGGGCATGTCATACCTGGCTGTACTGTTTGATTGGAAATTACCTCCACAAGAAATCTAAGTGTGAAATTCATTACTGGCGGTGTTAATTTAATAACGATATTGTTGTAGAAATATTACGAAAGCGAAGCATTGCGAGCTTATTATGTTTTGCACTTTGATTTATATTGAGAACTATTAGCTTTATATGCCAACTTATAGAGCCCAAAAAAACAGTTTATTGAAATAATTGAAAGATGGGGCGGTATCGCTATCGGAAAACTGAAATCCTATAGCCCCCGAGAATTCTCGGTGTTTAGAGAAATTTTTCAATGCCTCTTATGAAACCATTATTTTTAACAGATTTTGTTTTATTTTACGTTAATTCTTGAACTTCCAATAAATTAAATGGTCCTCTCTCGGCAAATGCCGAGAAAATGCATAGATAGTAATGTTTTTCGTTGGTAAAATATAACCAACAATGAGGCATCATCATCCAATGGCAAACTCGCCTAAATTATCCGGTTCAAAAATACATTATCATATACTTTTTTCAAAAACAAACTTGTAGGACAGGGTTTTTTTTTCAAAGACAAGACGTGGCCGAATAAAACTGTTGTGTTGTTCGTCTAGCGGTAATGAAAAATTTATTCAAGCGTCTGCCGCAAACCGGTMGTAGACTTGTAGCTAATGAAACAACTTCATTAAACAATTATAATTACGGTTGGTAGATCATATGATTTTGTTTCGCGGTTKTTCCAATGACTRTAATTAGATATATGAAATTTCAGGCCACCTTGCTCGCGCAAAAGTACTTGCACACCATTATCAAAATTCAAYTGTAGACTGACAGTAATTCTGTTCTAAAGACAATGCARTACTTGATCATTCGTACGTTCTGCGAATAAAACTGTTCTATATTGTTTGACTAGCGGCAATGAAAAAATAATTAAAGCCGTCGGCGGCAATCGAATGGGAGTAGACTTTTAGCTAATTAAACAACTTCTTCAAACTAGAGTTACGATAGTCGATCTTGTGATTATGTTTCAAGATTTAAATTATGGCTATAATTAAATTAGATTTCAGGTAATTTTGCCCGCTTTAATTCGATTTCTTTGTCAATGAAAAATCAGTCTTCTTCTTTTACTTTGAAGAGCTCAGATTTTCTACMGTCTATGAAAGAAAAATGAGCAATCTATTTTTGACTAGTTGATGGTCATTTCTGAAAGTACGTGTTGCAGACCATTATCACAGTTCGTTTTACAACTATTAGGAGCTATTCAAGTGAGGTAAAGATACGGTGAGCCAGATATGGAGGCTATATTACATATGCGGACGGAGATTAGCAATTATCGCGCGATAATCGCCACTTTGCTATCGCGAAACTCAAACCACGTGTTGCGGAAGAGCGAAATACTCCGCGACTTCGCGGTGCAAAAATTGTAAGTACAAACGTGTCTCAATACATGGGAGCTGAGCGCAGAGTGATATAACTACCCGCGGTACCAGCTGRAGGGGTGTGGTACGTACGGTGSCTACAAACACTTGTTAAATCACATTTCCTGTAATGATCAACCGTGAAACAGTCGGTACCAAAATAAAAAAGGCAAAACCGAAGAAAAAAAAGATTTTTAAGTCTATGCTACTAATAGAAGCAAAACTACTTATAAAACACAGTATACTCATAATTCAACAACCAATGTTCCCCCGCTCTCATTAGTACATACGTGACGCGATAGTACCCGCCAAGGAGGTCTGCTATGACTACATAGAGCCCGCCGCTTCAGAAAAGTTTGTTGTTAAACACTAAAAACAATAGATGACCATCCAGTTTCACTGGGAAATCGYGGCATAATGCTCTCTCTTTAACTAATCTAATTAAATGACAAACATCTGGAATCACTTTGTTCAAGTTCTCTGATTACTCGAGATTTATAAGCTGTACAAATTGTTSGCGTCTTCATGTTTGGTGCTAGTGTCCCAAGCTTGCACAAGCGATTTTCTATAAATAAGTGCAAAATGATCCAGGTTAACTAATGGAGGAAGATCAAACGTCACATGATTGGATTAACCAATCACAGTGAGGTATTTGCAGAGGTAAGGAATTCACTATGGATAAAAAAAAATTCAACTCTTTTGTTCTTTTGTCGGCGAGATTTATACACAAAGCAAGAGAAGCAAATGTCTAAATATCGGCTAAATGTCAGCGGTCGATAAAGTCGACTGAATTTGCGACATTTTCCGTCACAAATCAGGTAAGTTAAAGCGCGAATACAACGAAAAAGAAATAATTTAGATTAGAAACGGTACTTGCACCTTTTTGACAACAGAAATGTGTGAAAACCAGACAACTTTAAAACATGACTGTCGACCAATCATTGATCGAGAAATAACGTATCTCTATCGACTTYCGCTGCGTGGCAAAAGTGCGGCCTCTGAATACGAAAAAGATTAATAAAAAGCCGTGGAAACTAGCGGTAAACTGTGCGAGATGAGTAGGTGTTTCTAGAAGAAAAAGATAAATCTAACACCCTAAAAAAGTAGGTTAAACAACTTATTGACGTTTCGGACGTTAATCCTTCGTCGGAGTAACGATTAATAGAAGTCATCGAAAGCYCCAACGCGTTATTTTTTAAGAATTTCGTATATATATTTTTTTTATTGTAAAAGCACACTTGATGAACACACTATTTATAATATCTGCAAAGAATTGATACTATCACACTGTGATTTCTTACTGTTTGATTTACAGTTATTTCGTATTGCTAATCATGCCAGTTATATTACTATGAAATATTCGCTGTTGCCCAGTCCTCTTTCCTATGATCGTACACAGGGATCCCATATCGCCTAAGATAAACTCAAATATTGGCAGGACATGGAAAACTATGATCAATAAATTATTTTGAAGTAGCAGAAAAAGCTGTTGCTTTTTTGAAAGATTTACAATATGTTTGAAGAGCCGTGGAGTGCGAAAGGCTAGACGATGAGACGGGAGCCGGGGACGTAGCGAGATTCTGACCAGACGTTTGACTCCCCGCAGTTCTGTGGGCGTCTACCGCATTGGTTACACCGCTTGTACTTGTCGCATTGCTCATGGATGAGCATTCCTGGGGACAAGCTACGTTCCCTCTCTTCGTCTTCACGTGAYTTCTTCTTCTGCACGTGCTCTGCCCAGGATTGCTCGAGTGAGCGACGAGTCTGAAGGTGTTCTTGATGTCGCACTGAGCGATCAAGGATAATACTGTAAAAGAAACACATCATTAATGTCTCAATACCTTTAGCACGCATAATATTCAATATATATCAAACAATTGTCTCACATTCGCGCGGGCTACCTGTGCTTTTTTGTGGGATCCCTTATTTTCAGGGAAGGGAGGGGAATAGGACAAATCTACAATGGCCGACATGTTGAAAAGCAATTTCATTGCCAATTCTGTAAGTTARTCATTAAAGCCATTAAAGCACTAAAAGGTGGAAGAAACGTGAAAAAAMCTTCCTATCGTACTTCCTTATAAGGTAAGATTACCATATATGGTCAGCAAATGTTTGGCAAACGAATAAATTTTTACCCGAAGGAATTGTTTGATATGAAATTTTATCAAAGCCATCAATAATTCATAAGGTAAACACAATGTAAAATCATTGCCGTGATCGCATCTTTATATGAGCAAGAGATTTGTCCTGATTTGCATACCACTTAGAATTTCTCTTAAACCTAATATTTCATCTTGAAGTTTTTAGCAAAATATGTTTAATCTTACGTTAGAATTAATTTGATAAGCAATATAAAATATTCGGGTCCGACCTTTCTGGGCACGTCTTAAACTGCTCGCTTGCAGCTCTCAGTTTTAAATGGCATTAAAGGTCCCCTGCCYATAGAGTGTTAAACGTTTAATTCTTAAGTAATTAGCGCCTAATAAAATTTAGTTATCAATTAACTAGAAATTCAGTCGGCGTTAACAAAGACAATTTCATTTTGGGCATTACGTTCACACCCCAGTGATTTCTTAGTTAGTTGATAACTAAATCTTATTAGTTGTTGATTGTTAAGAATTGTTTCGCGCTTTTTTGGCGTGCACTCTATTTGATATATCAGAGCGGATTTCGTATGAGTGGGAAACGGACGGTACTGTACTGTGACCGTAATCGTACTGTAAACAAATTCTAGTGCCCCATTGGTTCACCAAAATTTTACAGGCCAGGACCGGTAACTGTGCGGTAACCGTGCGGTAACGGTGTCCCACTCATACGAAATCCGCTCTACATAAAAGTGGTGGGAACTAGTGGTAAACTAGTGTGAGCTGCGTCGGTGTTTCTAAAGAAACAGTTGTGTTTTACATAAACACTACATAAAAGACATTTTAAAACTCACTCTCTTTTAGTTCGTTCCAGCATATCAACCTCCTCCTTTTGGTTGCGTAAATCATTCAATATGGCCTCACGTTTCTTCTGTGAAACCATGTCAAGTTGTTCACGGTACAATTTACGTGCMCGTCTTCGCTGCTCTTCAAGCTTTTCTTCTGTGACATCATGGATTCCAAATATGGGACCACTTGAGTCGGGCTCAAGAGCTGGAATTGGTAGAGGCTTGAAACGAACCTGAATTATAAATAATGCAATCAAAAATTAATTCATAACACATATGTGGTGGACCTGTTCGTTGTTTCTTCAACTTAGAAAGAAGTTTGGACTGCTACAGAGAGGAATTTGTGCGTAGTCACTATGAAATCTTTATGGACAATTGGTTACATTTGGAATGAGAGCTACAGTAAAACACTCAGAAGAGTCAGAAAACTTAGATGTCAAAGGACTACGTTCTTGCTTAAACAAGCCTGAGTCGGAAATGATTTGAGATAAGATTTTTAAAAAAGAGAACAACAGCTTTCAGTTTCGACATGTTTCRACCACAGTGTACGACGGTTGCTCCATGCTCTTTAAACTACTCTCTAAAATAGAAGGTTAGCACTCTAGCAATGTCTATCTACTTAACCTGTCTATCTGACAATTGGTTCCTGGACTTGACGTATGCCGGGTCAAAGGGAGGAAGCTGTCCAGGTTTGCAAGCTGGAAGAGCTGGGAAGTCTGGGAAATCTAACTGTTCTTCCAAACCATTCTGYGGGCAGAGTCGAGTCTGAACAATAGATTTAAGCGATGATGAAAAAAAAAACACAAAATAAAGCGCTCTTTGATTGGTTAGTCATTGTTCTATCACACAGTACTTTTCGAATTTAGTGTATTCATAATTGAATAGGGTTTTTGCATGAAACGGTACCCTGGTACGAACTTCACCACTCGATGGCAAAAAAAGTAAACAACCTCGAAAACCAAAAGGAACGCAGCCCATCAAGGCTGACCTCTTGTATGTTTTGAACATCCCAGTAAAAATTTTGCCATCCAGTATGTTACCGTTTCATGCAAAAGGTCTATTCTTAAGCTCTAATCAAATGATGCAGTGTTATAGAATGGTGTTTTCTGTTGAAGAAAATCACAATCTATAGATCAAACAGGACGTGTATATCAATGAATGTAATCTGATATACGTACTTCATAGTCAGAAAACTAATTATCTAACACTCAAGCTGTATTCGGATTGGCTACTCTACCATAGGTTTAAATCATGTTAGTATAAACATATTAATGGTCTATCACTCATACTGCGCTGTGATTGGCT